TTTTGTGAGGGTCAGGCAAGCGCTTACCAACTGAGCTCCACCGCTCAAGTGTAGCCTTTCAAAATCAGGCCAGCAAAGCGCCATGACTTTTATTTGCAAACAGGCATGCCACCCCTTACGCTCTGCTGACCTTTGAAGCAAACAATTCAGGAAAATAAATAAATCAGGTGGCACAGGCTAAAGACAGCCAGGTGACCTTGTGTACTAAGGTCCACAGGAGAAGCAGTGAGGGGGGGGGCACCACTCTGGGAACACTGAGAGAGCACAAGGCAGTGAGGGGCGGGGCTTCAGGTACCCCCCCCCCCCCTGTCTTTGAGCAGCAATTATCACTCCTTAGAGGGATTACTGGGCCCGAAGAGTCCTCACAAGGAGGCTGCCCTGTTTTCATTTGGTCAGAATTTTAGAATGAGCTCCCTTTAAAATGGTTTCTTTATTTTTAATGTTTTTTTTTTAAAACTAATCACTGACAATGAGAAGAGATTAAAATAGAACTTTAGGCTTCCAGATTTTAATAGCCCTAGAATAACACCATTGTTCATGAAGAAGCAGCTGCACATGTCCAAAAAAAAATCACATCACACACACACACACACACACACACACATACACACACACTCACACACACGGACTTGGCAGTTTCTTAAAGATTTGAAGCTCAGCAAAAAATTAATAAATTATCCTTGAAATTTCCCCCAAATGCTTAGGGACTAACTTCTGAGATAATTTTATCTATTCAATTAACTGTGGCCCGGCCGCTTTCTAACAGCGAATCTCCACTGATGATATCTTAAATAGTCAAAGGATGCTCACAGGAGACTCCCCTGTCACCAGCACAGGACAGCTAGGTTAGAGACCAGCCCTCCACAGCCCTCCAGAGGATTCTTAGACCAGTTAGACCAGTGGGAGATTCAGTCACTGACACAGCTCAAGACTCAGAGGTTCCTGACTGGAGCTCCCTGTGATTCTCTCCCAGGAACAAACAAAGAGAGGTCCCCTGCCATTGGCTTAAAGAACCAGAGCCTCTGAGCCAGGGAGCAGAGCCAGTCAGGAGATCCTTAGGAGGACTGTAAGGTACAGTCAGGGTTGGGTGTCGAGACTCCGCCCAGTCAGCCATGTCACATGTAGATCTCAGATGATGCAAGTGCTTCCCCATGTGCTTGACCTCATACCTGCTCCCTGACAGCAGGCCTGAGAAACCAGAAATGGACTCCCTGAGCCAGAAAGCAGCAGTGCCTTGGTCTCAGGCAGCACAGGGGTGGGAGGTTTGGCTGCCATCTCTCCGGAGAACTTTACAGTTTCTGAACAAAAGTATCCATCCAGGATCCGGAAAGAGGTCCTCAGCCTGAGACTGGCTGGAGATGTGGGAGAATCTTCAGAAACCCGCTACACAGGGCAAGTTCTGCCGGCGTCAGGCGGCAGCAAGAACTACTAGAGTCTGCAGCTGCAGGACTTCCCACCCTGGTACCGACGACAACGACGACTTCTTTTCCCATCCTCAACCCCTCAACATCTCCAGAGGAAACTGCCAATTTGCATGGAAGATCTGGCTGGAGACAGTGGCCAGTCAGATCGACATCCTAACCCAGCAGGATAAAGTCAGGATTCTGGCACTGCACTGTCCCCTCCCCGAGAGACGTTCTAGGAGCAGGGCTGAGTGTGAAACACAAGGTGAGGGGAATCTTAGACACCCAGGGATAATGCTGACACCATAGTGAGACCACAACACCTCCACTTCTCCACCTGCTAATCAGATGCACAGGGACAGTCCCAGGCCTGGCACCTGCAGGTGGCAGGGCCACCCCTGTTTGGCAGTCAGGGACACATGAGTCTGACTGAAATCCCCCCCCCTCGACGTGGTTGGTTTTCTGGCCGTAACAGAAAGAAAGCAGCTGGCAGCCACGGCAATGCCAGGTGAGGCTTACCGGAAGAGCTTCTCCAGAAGGTTCGGGGAGACTCCCTTCACCCTCACCAGGAGGAGACTTGGGGGCTCTCCTCCCAAGTCATGTGACTCTCACCATGGTTCTCACAGCCTAGGGTCGATTCCTTTATTTAAAGCGCTAATCACTGAGGCTCTGGCAATGTGATGACCCCAGGGCCTCACGCCACAGTAAACCCGAGACCCTGGCTAAAGAAGGAGGGACTCTCTCAGAAGTGCTGCTCCTCCCAATCCACACTGCTCACCGGAGAAGTCACACTGACACCCAGAAGATGCAGCACAGCCTCGTGGGCTCGGGAGTTCGTTACTTGGTGAATTCTGGAGGTCTGAGTCTCAGAGAGGGTTTTGTTTCTTTTTGTGACAATATTTCTAAATAATGCATTAAGTACTCTGACCACTTGTCTCTTTCTGCTTCTTTTCTGTACCATTTCTCCAGACTGACTCCCCTCTGCCCTCCTTTTGTAGCAACGGGATGTTCCTCTCTCAGAGCCCAGCAAGGATGCCGCCTCTTCCACTCCAGCACCACTGGGACATTCTGGGCTCTGAGAGTCGACTGGTGGACTTTCATTACAGCGACAGCTTCTGCATTCTGCCCTATATAAGCTACTGCCTTCTCCTTTTCTCCATGGCAACCCCTTTGAAAGGCAGAGGCTTCATAGATTGGTCATCTCATAGTCGGGTTCTTTACAGAATGTGGCAGGACGCAGGAGATGCCAACCTCACATAGAACAGTGATCCCTTTAGGACCATCAGAAGACATCACGTCCAGGAAAATGATGTTTCACAGCACAGGTCCTTAAAAAAAATGAAAACAAAATCCTCTACCACAACGGACCATAGCAACCCAAGAAGCTGGATCACTGTTTATCTGTAGCTGTGGATCAACAAGGATATGGCAAGCCGAGGGCATGCATGACACATTGGAACCAGAAAAGAAGGTGCTTGCCTCGTTAGAAAAGATGGTACTTTCTCCAATTATACATAACAGGCTGGGTTTTGAGCTTAGGAGGCTGAAGCAGATGGAGGTGGGCATCCACACACAGGTCAGCACTGCAAATGAAGGAAAGTCTGGATAGGCTCTGCGCCTGCTAGTGTTAGTCAACTTGACTTGGGCTAGAGCCCTCTGGAAAGAGAAAGCCTCAGGTGAGGAATTGCCTCCATCAGTCTGCCCTAGGGGCCAGTCTGGGGGGGGCATTTTCTTGCTTGACGGTTGATATGCAAGGGTCTAGCCCACAATGGACAGTACCATCCCTGGACAGGTGGTCCTGAGGTATATCAGAAACTGAGTAAACCAGGAAGAACAAACTAGCCATGAGCGTTCCTCCATGTCCTTTGCTTCAGTTCCTGCCTCTAGGTTCCTACATTAAGTTCCTGCCCTGACGATAAACAGTAAGAAGAAATATATCCCTTTCCCCCCAAGTTGCTTTTGGTCATGGTGTTTTATCATAGCAACAGAAAGAAGTCTAAGGCAGGCACCTGCAGCTAGGTCTACAGTGTTGTCATCCACAGTAAAGCTAGAGAAGCCCTGTGGAGGCCTCGGGGGTTCGGGGGAGCTAGTTCCCTGGGAAAGCTGTGCCTATCTATACTTTTCTGATTAAGTACCTAGCACACACATCAGCAAATGCAAAAATCAAACAAGTGCCCATTCATCAACCCTGATCTCCTGTGAGAGACACAGACAAGCCACCTTGGCCCAGAAAATCTCACACTGAGTTCTGGGAACGGTCTCCTCATCCTCAGGCCCTGAAGCTCTGATGCAGTGAGCAGGGCAAGGCCAGAGGTTAGAGCATGCAGAGTCCTCATCAGCACACCGATTCTACATGTAAAGACCCATGACAACACAAAACACTCCTCACCCCTGTGACAGCTCGGATTGGAGTCCCAAAATAGAAGGAACGTCATGGCTATCTTGGTTGAGTCCCTCTACTTCGTATGGTCTTTGCCCACCCCATGCTAGTCCCAGGTCAAAAGCCTTCTCCTGCCGCTCAACTGCTCCACCTTAAACACCCACCTGCCAGGCCGTGCCGTGTGGCCCCACCTGTCCTAGATCTTCATCCTAGCTCCTGAGGTACCACTGTGCCTTGTGTGACCTGAAGGTCATTTGTGAGTGGGTCTAAAAAGGAACTGACCATGACCCCAAAGGGTTCTGCTCAACAAGGGCTTACTCAACCAACACATTCTACACAGAAAGACCAGTCTTGGCTTCCCGGGCTTCTCACTGGACATGGTTCTCCAAACATGTTTTTGATCTTTACTATCAACCATTCCAGAATGGAAACAAAGCAGAAACATCGTAGTTAAAGGCACTGTTAGATTTCAATTTCTACCCTTTCTAAGGGCCAAATGCTCCCAGGATGGGGAAGAGCACGTCTGTAGGGAAAGTATGTGTTAAGAGAGACACTGTGATGGACAAAAGCAATTAATTCCAGTGGTTGACTGATTATGGGGCCTGGCTTCCCACTGAAAGCACTCAAGGGCACCTACTGTCACAGCGTGGAGCCCAGGCGGGGGGGGGGGGGGGACAGCAGCCAGCACTGACTTACTCATGGCCTCTTAACAACTGCCTAGCACAATCAGCTGCTTTCTTCCCAGCCCTGATGGCCTAAGTAGTTGGCTTGGTGCAGAGAACACTGGAGGGGGCCATTTCACACAGCGGAGGTAGAAGGAGCCTGCTCCTCAAATCCTTGTGCAGGTGAACTACGCACTGAGGTGAGAGAAAGCACACGCCCTCCCCTGTAGCTCTGGGCTGAGATGTGTCTCCCTCGAGCATCTGTCCACACAGACGTGGGTTCAGAGTTCCCAAGGTCCACAGTGCAAATGGCCGTTCTCCTCAACTCGAAAGCCATCATCATATGAACCTAAACCCCATCCATGCCTCAGGTGGAGACCCAGACTGTGCACAGGTACACTAGCCTCTCTGTGACGTGGACAGGCAGAGGGGAGGGGGCGCTGGGAGGGGGTGTTTTACTCACAGCCCAGGGATAAAGGCACAGGGCATGGATGGGGGCACACTGCAGCATCTCAGTACACAGCAGGCCTGGCTGGTTAGAGTAGCAACACCTACTGTTTCGTTTGCCTTCCTCTCCACCCTCCTCTTCGTTCTCAGGATCTATGTCTTCTGCTTGGGTGATCCAATCCAAGTAGCCCTTGAGATCCTCTTCCAGCTGCTGCTTCTCCCGAAGCTTCTGGAAATCTCCCCGCGCTTTAGCCTTCTCTCTTTCCTTGGAGAATTCTCTGAGAGACACAAAGAGAACAGAGCACCGGTCAGACATCCCTGGGGACCTGCAGCACGAGCCGTCCGCCCTGCCGTGGCAGCGGTCTTACGGCAGGACGCACTCACAAGAGCACAGCAGTGCAGGCACACACGTGCACAGGACAGAAGACCAACGGTGAACCCGAAGCACAACGGTGGCGCCGGAGTTGCGAAGACCACATCGACACACATGCACGGTTTATGAGGAAGTACATTCCCTTCAGGACGGCGCTCTAAAGGAGCCCAGACTCAAGACATCCTGGCCCGTCTTTCCACCCACCTTGATACCTGGCCACCCACTTCATGAAGAAGGGTGCCACACAGTCCAGCTCAGGTCACAGACAGCACCCAGAGCAGTGGGCAGGGATCCAACGGAGCTGTCTTACAACCCAGGTCTCCCCTCCTGGGCAGTACTGGAGTACTGTACTCTGTCTGTCTTAACCTTTGCCTCTGGCCGTGATCTCTCCCAGAATGCCCCATAGGAGGCGGAGAGGTAGAGCAACCTGCTGCCCACGTACAGGAACACCTGCCCTGGACAGGTTTCGGCAGATGCACAAGTGTCCCCAAGTGTTTGCTGTTTTCTCTGCCTCCCATGACTGCAGTGCTCTATTACTCTGTATGTAGGCACAAACACAAAATCCCACGCCCGTGCAGGCCAAGTCTGGGAGTCATGACTGGCCAGTTTTTATATACAAGGAACCATCTGCACTTCCAGCCGTTAGCAGGAGCCAAGAGAGGTGACGTATAGGTCTGGGGCGCACATTAAAGCTGTTAGCAAGTGGGTGAGGTTATGGACAGAGAGGCTTCTGCACACAGACCGAGCACTCTGACCCAGCGACTGCCCTCTCCCACCCACCTGCTAGCCAATTCCAAGTCAGCGGGCGCAGCTCCCTTTTATGACCTCACTAACTCTGGCAAAAGGGAGATGACCTGCTTTCAGCAAGCCAGCTCCCTACTCTCTCCTCATGGCCCTCCCTCAACTCCAGGCCTTTGGGGAGCTGCATGGGCACCTAGGCAGCCAGCGAAACTGGAATCTTGGCTCAGGGGTTTCTCTCTGCTCTCAAGAAGGCTCCCACTCACTGTCCGACTCTGCACCGTTCAGACCCTAGGACTCAGCCTTGGCCTCAGAGGGCTGTTCCGTCTCCATGCTGTCCTCTGCCGAGGCTGTGGGAGGAATTCCAGGTGTAGCGCCCAAGACGTGGTGGGGGAGGGGCTGGAGGGTGTGCAAGACCTGTGCTTGGCCCTCCAGCCAAAGCACTCCTGGGGGTAATGCCTTCCAGTCTAAATACAAAGGGGACGTGGAGGGCTGCACCCTGCTGTTCACACAACAAGACGCACAGATGAGGTTTCTAGTCCACCGGAGTGTCCCAAAGCACAAGCAATGCACAGCTCAGGGGGGGACATTCGCTAAGTTGTTCTCAACTCCGAGAGTCCCATTCCATCCAGAGCCACACCCGTAAGGAAGGCCCAGAAGACCTGTGTGAAATGTACCCACAGGAAGCTGCAAGGGGTATAACTCTTTCTTAAAAACCCATGAAGATCAAATGGGCCTTCAATTCTATTATTTATGTTATTATCATTTTTATTACAGACATCTGTCATGTTATGGTCTCAGCACACTAAATGTAGATTATTACATACTAAGTTCTTATTCTGGATTCATACATGATCTGAGCTTTCTAAAAACAATGATAGAAGTCAGTAAAATGTTTCCTTGTGCAGCTAGGAATATGAGAAGGTGAAATTTTACTTTAACATCACATTTACTGGTTTACATTAGAACTATAAAAATCAATCTCATGCCAGATGGTGGAGGTGCACGCCTTTAATCCCAGCACTTGGGAGGCAGAGCCAGGTGGATCTCTGTGAGTACAAGGCCAGCCTGGCCTACAAAGCGAGATCCAGGATAGGCACCAGAACTACACAGAGAAACCCTGTCTCCAAAAAACAAAAAACAAAAATCCCTCCCATGTCTCTTGCCCATCACAGTGGGATACGGTTAGGCAGGCTTTGTAACCACTTTACCAATGCCTGTACCACTGTCTAGTCACAGGAAAGGACCCTTCTGCCACCACGGCCTCCTGTCCCAGAAGGCCTCACCTTCGGACCACTGCGTCTGCTATCAACCTCAGTGGACGGCGAAAAAGATTACTCCATTTTTAATAGAATTTCATCCTCTTCTAAGGTGCTCATTACTATAAGGTTAAATAATAATCACTATTGCAAACGCTTATTTGAATGAAGTTACTGGTAGAAATGATAAGATTTTTGCAAGTGACCAGAAAATCTGAAAACAATTACATTCTAGGAGCCCCCTTGTCTGGGTCTGGAATTTTGCCGTGTGTGTGACCAAGAGAAAATGTAAGTGTCTGTACAAAAGTACACATATAATACATTGTCCTTTGCACATAAAAGAGGGGAAAATAGGAAAACAGACATATTTCTATATGATGCATCTGAAAGAGCAGAAGATAAGGTTGGAGACATCTGAGGAACGGCTCCCTGGGTCAAGTGCTTGCGTGAGAACCTGAGTTTGGATGCCAGGCACTGGAGGGGAAAAGCAGGTGTGACTGCATGCCTGTAACCCCAGTGCTGGAGTCAGAGACAGATGGATCCCAGGCACTCACTAAGCAGCCAGTCTAACCAAAATGCAAGCTCCGGGCCCAGCAAGAGACTCTGTCTCGGAAAGTTAAGGTGGAGATTTACAGAGGGGGCAACTGACACTGACCCCGGCCCTTGCGTGCACACTCACGGCACCTGCCTAGGTAAAGAGGCACAGAACCCCCTTCCCTGGCCCTCTTCAACACACACTTAAAAAAAGAAGAAACGCCAGGCGGTGGTGGTGCACACCTTCAATCCCAGCACTCGGGAGGCAAAGGCAAGCGGATCTCTGTGAGTTTGAGGTTCGAGGCCAGCCTGGGTTACAAAGTGAGTTCCAGGAAAGGCACAAAGCTACACAGAGAAACCCTGTCTCAGAAAAAAAAAAGAAGAAGAAGAAGAAGAAGAAGAAGAAGAAGAAGAAGAA